GAGAGCCTTTTATTAACAAGGGTTAGCCAAACTTTTCAGCTGCATTTGAACACAGCAAGAGGTTTTGTTGCTAGCTCCTAATAAGGCAGAACAAAATACACTGTGAGATAAATGCAGCTCTAAAGACTTCTAACTGGATTAATAATCTCAGAAATAATCTCATAATGATTCCTGCATTATGTGTTGCCATAAACTAGAAACAAAGCATGAAGAAAGAAACTTAAGGAATTGCAGGAAACTCTCCTTTTACAGAACACTGTTTTTCCAAGCACTACTGCCCTAAAATAACAAATATAGGTAGCAAAAGGTTTTAAAACCTGTTATTTGCCTGCTAACCTTACCTAGTAATTTTACAAACTTGGACATACATTATAACTTATGTTCTAAACAAAGATAACAGTTGTGGGGAAAACAAGCAAACAACAAACCAACAACCACAACAAAACAGAAGAGCTTTTTGAACATTTTTTTAACCTACTTGGGAAGTCCAAGTCTCTTTCTAAAAAAATAATCTGGTAAGCAGTTCAAATACACGTGCCTATACTGCTAGATAATTAATTTTAAAAGAAAACACAGTTTAAATTTATTATATCATCTTTCACAATACTGTTACAAAAATACCAAACTGATACATTACACTGATAAATCAGTTTAACAGATCATTATTGTCCAGTGATTTGCTTTTAATAAAAAACAGTGCTTGAAAAAAATGCTTGTGCTTTTGGTTTATACTGCTTGTTTTATCCCTTTCTTTATATACAAAAACCAGATCTAAGTACCTAAGCCCAGCATTTTTGCCTACAGTGAATACTAACACTCAGGACAGTTCCTAAAATGGCGCAGGCAGAACCATTTCTAAAGACAAATCCTTTCAAGACATCACTGTTGTTTTTCAAGATAGCCCTGTATCAGTCCTTGAACTCGAGACAGAATGATCTCATTGGAGCTGCTGCACTCTTCTGGGCCATATGGTGGGTCAATAGTTAACACTCCTGCCACACACAGTGTCCTGCCTGACTTGCCCTGCTCTGTCACAGGGATGTGGTTTGTTTCTAGCCAGGTCTTCAAGTCCTTCTTCCTCTTTTCCAGTTCCTCTGGGCTGTATGCTTTGCTTTCTTCAGGTGTAAATATACAAGAAAGACGCTGCTTCATTTCACTGTCCTCTTCTTTCAGTATTTCAACCTCTTGGACAGCATGGCCCATGACAACTGATATGGACACCTCTTCATTCTCCAGGAATGTTGCAAGGACAATACTGTTAAGGAAAGAAGGATGTATGAGTCACTGTTCTTAACTGAAAACTGAGAAACACAGGCCAAGACTCCTGGAGATGAGTGCTCATTAGCATCAGCCTAGCCCAGGTATTTAGGCAACTTCCAGTACCAGCACTTTTCTTCAAACAGCTTCCTGCTGTCCCTTAAAATCCTAAAGACTTGGGACTTTGCAGGCAACTGCTGGCCTTGAATTTGAAACTACTCTGGACACTATCAAGCAGAACATTGGTTTAAAGAGGCAAAATGTACATTAAAATCAGGGCCGAGAATCTAAATATTTTTGTGCAGCTTTCCCAACTTTACCGAAGAACCTGAAGTCTCCCTACATTCAGCACTTTGAATGGTGTCAGCTAACAACATCAGAACCTTTTAATGAAAAACTGTTAATATTTATTGATCACTACTAAAAGAATTATTTTTTAAAATTACTGTTGCTTGGGTATTACATGGGGAACACACTACAGCAGGTTCAGGCTCACGATGTAGACGCCGGGTCTTTTCTCAAGAAAATGCAGGTAGGAATGCATCTTGTTATATTTCTAGGATCTCATATATCAACAAAGAGGACCAGAAACCATTTTCTTCCTCTTGTGGGATGCAAAATTCCAGAATTTGATGCCAGCACTTTGCTAATCTACTGTTGCCACCGTTAGTGGAAGTAATCACTTTTTGGGATGTGTACAGTGAAATATGCCTTGATTTCAGCCTGGGCCATCACCAGAATGACTCACAGTTGCATGCACCTTTTCTACCAAAATGGTAAGAAACTCCAAGAGAAGATTATTGGAGCTACTTCGGAGCTGAAGCAACAACCAATTTTTCTGAAACACAACAAAAGCTGAATGTTTTAATTTCTAGCCTCCACCTTATGCTCATGTGGGACAAGCTCACAGCCAAAAAGGGATGAAAGAGCTCTGGCAGCAAGGAGACAAATTTCTGCCTGTTCCCTGGTACATTCTGCCTTTCAAACCCTGTTTTCAAGTTACTCAAGGTACTCAAGGTACTGTTCAGTATGCCTGTTGATTTTCCCTGCTTCCTCTCCAAAGCAGCCACTACACCCTCATGGGTGTACGGCTGGAGGACAA